ATTATAACTCGAGGCTATTTTAAATATATCGTGTATAAATATTTATCAATGATAGCTTATTCAATAATAAAGATATGTTTATTTACTCTCTCGTTGTAGTTATGTTGAACAAAAAAAGAATAGTATTGTATAATAATTAATATCCGCATTCTTACAATACTAATTACGTATTTATATTCACGTTTCTCTTTTGAAACTTCTAGAATAATAACATGCATGATTAAATAAATTTTTCTTTAGAAAAGGTTATTTAGTATAAATTAAGAAACAAAAAAAAATCAATATTATCTTGTTTAAGATTATATTTGAAGATTAATTTATTAAAAAAATATTAGTTCATTTATGTTATTTATGATTAGATTGAAGGATTTTTGATTGATATATTCCAAAAAGTATTATTTTATTTCAATTAATCATTTGTCATTTGATGAATCGATATGTTTATGTTTATGTCAAATCATAAGTATAATGTAAATGTTCTGGTGTAATAAAAAATCAGTCAAATTTTTTTGCATAAATCAGCAATCAAATGAGTAATAGGACATTTCATCAATATCGTTGACTTTATCAGACTATTTTTGGTATAAACTCATATAAGATAAAATGACACGCAAATTTTTTCATACACACACATTCTCTCTGTTCTATTGGTAGTGGAACAAACAACATGGTGATACAGAACGAAGCTTTTTCCTTTTAGATTTTTCTTTATTTGTTTCACTGTCAATAGAATAGAGAGAATGTGTATGTATGAAAAAATGTAAGCGTTATTTTATCTTATATGTGATTTTATATCCAAAAATAGTCTCTGATAAAGTCGACAGGGTTGACGGAATCTTACTAAATTAAATTTAAATAATAGGAAGAAAAAAATTTATATAATTAAATATGTCAATTAAAATATCCTTGCTTACAAATCAAGATGAGTAATAAGACTTGAATGATCAAGATTGAATATATTTATTAATAATAATCTAGGTCCTTCGTTGATCAAAATTTCGTTTAACATGTTCAGATAAATTATATTCATGGATAATATTCTTCACTGGTTGGCAGATATGCACCAGTACCAGTTGTCGACTAGATCCAGTGTATATCTAACATAAGTGATATATAGTTATTATAGAATAGAAAATCAATAGAGATTCGTATAAGAACACTAAATATGCAGTCAGTCGAACTGGCATCCAATCAACCAGGCAATACCGGGACTGATGCATACCAGATAGTTAGATAAAAGCTTGATTTATTCTCCATAAGCTTCAATTGAATTAAAGAAAAACATATGTTATTTCGTAGGATTTTAACAAAAAAATGTTATTCTTCTTTTTGTTTTTTATTTAATTTAGGTATTTTGAATTTCAATTGGCAGTCTATTCATCAGAAACATTCAATAAATTCTATATGAGTATGATTTTTATTGAAAAAAAAAACAAATCGTTCGAAGTAACAATAGTAATTAATCGAGAAGATACATATAAAATTCTAATGGGAATAGTCAAACCTACGAATAGCTCAAATTAATATCTTTCATTATTCTCAAGTTTTTCCGAACATAGAAAAACAATTCATTATGCAATTTTATATTATTCAAAAGAATATGTTTCGCGTAAGTTTTTTCACTACAAAGTCTCCGATAACATGAAACAGGAATGAGAATAAGATGACAAAAAATATTTCTTATCAACAACTATGAACTCAAACATTTGAAATTTAATATGCAATTTCATGTAAGTCCTTCTTATCATATATATTTGAAGAAAATTTTTACGATATATTTTAACCATTCAGATAAAAGCGACTATAAATTTTTAACCACAGAACAAGCTATATACAGTAGAGTGCAAAAATAATTGCCGATAGACTTTTCAAAGTTCTTCTCAGAGAAGTATCAGATATTATGATTTTTTAATGTTGTTGTACTACCCAGATACTGTACTACACAAATATATTAATCATTAAAACTTTCGCATTCTCTATGAGTTTAAAGAAGATAATAATCTTACGTTCTTGGAAAGAATAAAAAAAATTACAAGTTACGCATCAGTTTTAATCCAGTTGTCGGGTCAGAATCTTTTTGATTCATCAATATCTTAAAGTTTTTCATTCATATCAATTGATTGAATGGTCTGGAAGAATAATTTAACTAGATTCAGACTTGTGCTATTAAGTAGCCAAACGATAATTTTACCTATTTAAGGCTGGTCGATCCTATTGTTAGCCTTATTATAACACAGTGTTACGCTCCTCAATCTTGAAAATTTTATCATAACTAATGTGAATAAGGATCATCGTTATACAGTAGTTTCAAACTTCTTCTCGATAATTATTACTTCAATTATGTAATATGATTTATTGGTCAGATTAGATGCACGTAGTGCTTGAATTATAAGTCATTTTTGGGCAAATACATAACAGTTTTCGAGCAATTGCCGTCTCATTGAATGCACCAAGACAGTACCTAACACTTGCACATAACTCGAGAAAAATCGCTCGAAGAACGTACGAAACAGTTTTAAAGAAAGTCAATACACTAAACGGCAATTTTTTTTGCACTCTACTGTATATACTTGTTGAGACAATTTTCTTGTATCTAATTATAGAGGCGGCACCAAATTCTCTGAGTATTGTTGATATGTTGATAGATGGCGCCACGTTCGCTGCCATCTATGGTGATCGTGATAATAGTAGCGCCACCTATTGGTATAACAACAGTACACAGCATAACTTGATGATGCATACATCTATGAGATAGAAAAAAAATCCTTCTTAAGAAGGCTACATATATTCCTTGCTGTAGTCAAAAAGTTACTGAAAAACTTATAGTAGTCTTTATTTACATTTATTTGATTTAAGGAGATTTTCGTCGTAAATATGTTAAATTCAATTCATAAATCATTTTCATATACATATTTATTTATAATATTTTTTCATTAAACGAAATGGCAATCAAGCTAGATTTTTTGTTTTTACTATAGAAGAAAGTCATATATGAATATATGTATTTGTTCTTAAATAAAACTAGTCTCATGAGAAATTTATAATTTCTTTTCTATTAGAAAATTACATTTCCGGTTCATACAACATTTCCTAGAAACATCATATAGTAGAGATTGTATTGAATTAAAATGAGTAATAGCAATCAACAGAGAAGTGACAAATCTAAGATAAACGTCATAAAATGATTTTGTTTTCGCATTAGGAAGTATTAAATAATATAATTTATGTAATGAGTAATGTTAAGTTTATATATTAACTTTTAATTAAAATGTTACTACTTGTTTTGAACTTGAGAATATCAAGGACATATTGTATTATCTAGTCGTAATAATAAATATAACTTTGCTAAACAGTTTCAATTTCAAATTTGACATAATTCATTTAAAAATTAACTATTCATTTCGTAAAGTAAAGTTGTTTCTTTTTTTCGTCTAAAATATTGTATTAAACCAATATTTGAATGATTTTATGAGAACTATATAATATTTGCTGAACAAAAAAAAATAATAGAAACATTATTAAAATACAGAATAGAAAAAAAAAATATTTTTCTTGTTATATTTGCATTCTGGAAATAAATATAAGTCTTTGTCAAATAATATTACGACTGAAAAAAAAATATATGAGGTAAAATAAATCCAATAGGTTTATTAAATAAAGTTTTGGTCTGATTTCAAGCTTTATATGTAAAATTTGATTTTGGCTTAGAAAAACTTTCATTCTCTCTTGTGTAAATTGTTATTATATTTTGATTGAATTCAGATCTATTCTTAAGATGAAATTAAAGTTCACATTCGTTTTCTTGTCAATAGAAATAATAAAAACAAAAAAAAAAAAAAAGAAAAAAGAAAAGATTTTATTTCCTTCGTATTAAATTTCAAGGCATTCATTCACGTTCTCTCATTTTTTTTAAACATTGATTTTGTGACTACATGCAAATTCTTATTTTTATTTTTATCAGCTGTCCTTACCGTCTAGTGTACATGGCAATCTATTACATTTGGTTTGCATGTCAGTCAATCAATAGAAATAAATGTGAGAACGCGCGCTCCTCCCTTGTCGGCGTTGTCTCGAAAATCGACAAGTATGGGCTCGATAGAAAAAAAAGAACAAACAACATAAGATAAGAGAGAGAGAGAGAGAGAGAGAGAGAGAAGACAGAAAGACAACAAGAAAAAAAAAGCATCATCGTACATATTATTGTTTTTGTTATTTTTATCACATGAGCACGTATTGAAATGTGTAACAGAGAAAAGTATAGAAAAAAAAAATCGACAAGAGGTGTGCATATATTTAAACGATTGCGTTAGCATGTTTTTTTTTTGTATTACATTGTTGCGTTATCAAGATGAATTAAATGCTTTGTTGTTGTCTCTTGTTTCATCCGCTTGACGAGAACAACAATAATGAATCAGATCATAGTGATATTATTTTTCCATGTTTTAGATACCCAATATTGTTATTTGTGACATTTTATATATATAAATATATTCTTCGGTGGAAAAATCTTTCTTCTTCTTCTTTCTTTTTTCTACTAATTCTAAATCATTAATTTAACTTAAATTGATGTTTAAATATATTTGTTGAACTATTTCTTTCCGCGTTGCTGTATTGACTTATCGTCGCTTATCGCGTTGATGAGACGGTTCGACAACATTCTGTCTACATTAACATTAACACCTACATATGTCAATAGTCGTCTTCGAATTATATCAAATATTTCAAAAATATTATTAAGATTTGGTGATATTACCTAGAAAGAACTTGAGTATATTTATTCACATAAAACAAAACAAAAAAGAACCATTTTTATTTCATTATTACCTTATATATATTCATATTACGCATATATATATATACATATATAAATATCTATTTATTTTTCGTGTCTATTCGTTTGTCATTATTATCATTGTATTGATCTAATTTTACATTATTGACTAATATATCGTACAGAATACATAAAAAAAAAACAAGTCGTTGACAAACAATAACAAAACATGCAATCACCTAGACCTCGAGAACATTATCATAAGCACAAAGAAAGAAAACAAGAAGATGAGAGTCCAACCACGACAACAGAAGAAGACAAAGAAGGAGAAGAAGAAGTCAAAAAACAAATAGGTGATATATTCGAGTCAACAACGCCTTTAACAACAGTTAAAAATAAAAAACGTGTACATTACCCTCAAATTAACGGAGAACGGAGTGTGACGACGGATAGTCTTCAGAAAAATCACGAAACTTCTTCAGGTATTAAAACAAAAAAACAAAATAAAAAAAAAAGTTTTTCAAATATTTTATTTTAGTTGATCTGTATTCCAAAACAATAAACGGCCGTTCGAAAAAGCCGACAACCGGTGATCATGTAATTCCAATCGAAAGCGAACGTCGTAGTTGTTGTTGTTCAATACCTGAATCATTACGTCGACGTTTACAAAATTCTTTAGCACCATGGAAAGAATTTATTGAATATCAATCAAATTGGAGTTGGGTTATATTAGTTGCATCATTTTTAACATATTCAATAGGTGAAGCTTTAACATCAGTTTTTCCAATATTATTTGTTGCATTACAAGATGAATTTCCTGATCAAGGTTCATCACGTGTTGCTTTAGTACAATCAATGATGAATGCTGTACCATGTTTAGCTGGTCCAATAGCATCAATAACAACAACAAGATTTGGTTATCGTAAAACAGCTATGCTTGGAGGATTTATTGGTTCATTATCATTATTAGCAACATCATTTGCTCGTCGTCTTGAATTACTTTATATAACAATGGGTGTATGTTATGCATTTGGAAATTCTTTAGTACTTGTTGCAACTGTTGTTGCTGTAACTGAACATTTTGAAGCAAAACCATCATTTGCATCTGGTGTAACAATAAGTGGTATGTTGAATATTTATATTCTAGAAAAAGGAAAAAGAAAAAGAAAAAGAACGTTTGTTTTTTCTTCTTTGTTTCAACAGGTGGAGCATTTGGTCAATGTGTATTTGCTATTGTATTACAAAAATTAATTGATAAATATGATTGGAATGGTGCAATGATGCTTTTTTCTGGTATTGTGTTATCTATTGTTGCATTTGCTGCTCTATTTCGAGAAGTTGAATGGGATGAAGAAGATTATGATGAAGAAGAAGGTAAATAGATTTTTTTTTGTTAATAAAAAAATTTTTTTTTTTGATATTTAGGTGAAGATGAAGAAATTGAAAATGGAAATGAAACAATGTCAACAGCATTATCACCTTCTGAACAATCAGAAAATCCTGTTGAAACTACACATTCTGCTATAACAAATCAAGAACAAGAAGAAAAAATTATAAATCCAACATCAAATATTCCTCTACCTGGACATAGACCATCAATAACAGACGATATGTTTTTTTATGATCATTTTACTAAACAAGAATTATTAGATCAATATTCTAAATCTGAAATATGTTTACCATTAGCTGTTCGTGAACATTTAGAAGATGAATATCGTCAACATCGAATAGAACAAGAAGAAAGAAATTTTGGTGAACCTATATTATCTTCATCAACAACACAACTTGAACAGACAGATGAAATTCATCGTGCAACTGAAGTACCAACTATTGGAGAACGATCAAATAGTTGCAAGTAAGTTTTATAATAATAAAAATAAAACAAAAAAGACAAATATATGTTTAATCTAAGAAACAATGGTTAGAATTAGTTTTTTAAAAAACTTTCAGAATTCCAATAATTATATAACGAGTATTGTTCTATTTTTCTTTGTTTTATTATTAATTTTATAATAGCTCAAAAACTCTATGCCCATCGCCTCTTTTTATTTTTTTATTAATGCTCCCTGACGATAAATCTTCTTGTTTGGATGCTGCTATCTCCTATTGCTTTAATGATAAATTTTTATGGTCTTCTCTACACTATTCCTTTTTTCAGCTAGAAAATTATATCTTATATAAAAACCTTACAACAAATCTATTTATTCACTTATGTATATATATATATATTTATCATGAGAAAAAAAAAATTTGTTTTATTTTAGGGATTTGCTTTTGACTGAAACAACTCCATTAACAAGTGATAAACCTATTCGTTCAATTGTACCATCAACAACAACAACAACAAATAATTCTCGTAAAGCTCGTTCACATAATCGTCGTCAACATCGTTCATCAACAAATACTCCTCATGATAATAAACAATTAATAATATATTATCCGTTTCATCGTCAACATCACAATATACCAATAGTAGCAGGTGGTAGTACACGTCCGCATTCCTCACATCACCATCATCATCATCATCATCATCATCATTCTTTACATTGTAATCGAGGAAATCTTTCACAATTAGCATTATGTTCAAAAAATATATATAATTATGAAAGTGTATTAAATATATGTAAATTACAATCATTACATTTTTCAATTGATCGTAGTTTAAGTTTACCAAATTTATATTCACCTATATTAGCTGGTAAAAAACGTCATCGTTCATTAACAGTATCAAGAAATATAGAAGATTATTTAAAAGAAGAAGAAGAAGAAGATGAAGATGAAATAGAAAAAAAGAGTTTTTTTGAACAAATTTGTCATGATGTAGGTAAATTATTACGTGTTTTACGTATATTACCATTTTTATTACTGTGTATATGTGTTACAATGATAACAATTTTTTATGATGCAACATGGACATTTCTTATTGATTATATGAAAAAAAATGATTTATCAGCTGAAAAAGGTTCACATTTAATTTTTTCTGTTGGAATAGTAGCCATTTTTGGTGAAATTGGTTATGGATATATGGGAGATTCTAAAAGGTAATCAGGAAGAATTTATTTGACTTAAAAATTAATAAGAAAAAGCAAAAGAACAATTTTGAAAGGTTTTTTTCTCTTTATATATATATATATATATATTTATTATCATGATGATATAAAAAAAGACTCATTGTTATAGATAATGTTGTTTGATAAAGGTCTCTTTGTCCTTGAATAACTCTTCTATTATATTTTTTAACTCCCTTGAATCAACATAATAAAATATGATGTACTTTTAGGTTAATGAAATAAATGCAAAAATAACTTTCATTTCTTTACTGAAAAGAATTTATAAGTTTTCAGCATATTTATTCTTTTTAATTTGAAATTTTTTCTGTAAATACAGTCCTCGACAAAAGTATCTATTCTTTATGAAGTGTTATTATTCTTTATGATATTTTTTGGGTGAATCGGTTTCGATATATAAAATATTATCGAAAATAACAATTCACTCTTCCATTGGTTCATATATAATGGAGTTATGGTTTTAGACATGTTTTTTCTCTTGTGAAAAATATATTCAACGGAAATATGCATTTACAAAAGCTTTTGTTTGTCATTTCGCTATTTCACAAACTATTACCATTATGTTCTAGCGTTAATGGTAATTCCATATGTCTATTTTATTATTTACTAAAGTTCTTGACACATAAACAAGATTTTAGTAATTAGCACACTCTGGCATAGTGAACTCAATTTCATTCATAATTCTAAAACTTTCAGAAGAGACTTGTCGTGTTATGGGACCATTTGCATATGAATTAATCAAAGTCATCGTTGAAAAGATCCATATTACTAGAAACTAATATTTCCTCTTCTCTACAGACATTCTTAATGAGAAGATTATATCTCATGAAGCAATTCTTCCAACTGATAATCTCCATTCGAGCTCATATTTTTCTGATTGTGTAGATAAAAGTTCTAATAGGATATGTGTCATTAGCTGTTTCTTCTTGAGTCATAATTATTTTACTGAATTTTCAGTCTATTGTACGATATTACAAGGATAATTGAATCAAGGGTTTTTAGCCTGAAATTTTATTGACAAATAGATTTCATAATCCTTATCATATTCCGTAAGTTTCAGCAAAACTGAATGATTTCTTCTCAAGATATTGTGTACTCAAAAAAAAAATTGGATTTGTTCAAATCCCTTTCTACGAAACATCGATTCTAAAACTCTATTATCTTAAGATAGAAGCATTTGTTTTTGCTGAAACTTTCAGAATATTATAAGGATCATAAAATCTATTTGTTGATAAAATTTTCAGACTAAAAATCCTTAATTAAGTTTTCTTAGTAATATTACGCAATAAACTAAAAATTCTGTAAAATGATCATAACTCAAGAAGAACCAATTAATGGCACATATCCTATTAGATATTTCATCTGGACACTCAACAAGATATGAGCTTAAACGTAGATTATCAGTTGAAAGAGTTTTCTCGCCAGTTATTTCTAACAAAATTAGGATTAGACATAGCTGTGACAATAACTTTTCGACTGAGGGATTATCTTTGAATCATAACTCCATTTCATATGAACTGATAGAGGTCGGGTTGATACTTCCAATTAGGATTTATTGTCTCACGCATACATCGAGAATATCAGTTGAATACTATATAGAATAGTAGTACTTCATAAGACGACAGGTACTTTTGTTCAGAATTGCATTTAATCATATTGATCTATTACAGGATTTCACCACTTCATGTATATGCTTGTTCATTGTGTCTGGCCGGTCTTTCTCAATTACTCATTCCACTTGTCATTAAATCTTATTCAATTTTAATGCCACTTATGGTTTTTACTAGTTTTTTACAAAGTGCACAAGAAGTATTAATGCCAATATTATGTATTAAATTTGCTGGTACACAAAATTTTACCAATGCTTATGGTATGTTACTTCTTTGTCAAGGTATTTCATCATTAATCGGTCCACCAGCACTTGGTAAGAAATAAAAAACCCAAAAAAAAA